GGACATTCTACATGTAAAAGTGAGTCGAAAAAATAGAATAAAATTTTTTTCCTACGAGTCTTCGTTTTCGAGAAAATCGAGGTCGAAAATTTACTCGGTACGTATACACTCGGTACAAGTCGACTTTGTGCATCTCACTAGACAGTCTTGTTTTGATTCTTATTTGTATTTGAAGATATAGTAATGAAGTCGGTTGATAGTTTATTGTTCGTGCTATTCTATTAGCTGTATAATCATTCAGTATCTAACAGTTTCTCAATGTGGCAGCTTATTCGAATAGTGAACATACGGATATGATTCTCGCACTTGGAGCGTGCGAGAGTAATTTGAGTGTCGCTTCACGTTTGTATCAAGAGCGGTATCCGCACTTTGTCATTACTATATCTTTAAATGCAAATAAAAATCAAAACAGGAGTGTACAGCGAGATGCATAAAGTCGACATGCACCGAGTGTACAGGTACCGAGTAAACTTTCCACTTTTTCCACGATTTTCTCGAAAACGAAGACTCGCGGGAACAAATTTTATTGTATTTTGTCGACTCATTTTTACATGTAGAATGACCTTCTAATCGGTTGACCATGAGTCGCGGGACACCGTGTATATATGTACTTTGCACGTTCGTCTAAAGTAAAGTTAGCTGTAGATAATAGGCTACCTTTTGCCAGGGATGCGACTTAATCTGTGGGAATTTGAATTCGGTATAGTTGGGGTTCATTTCACGTATCTGATCGCGGGTCGGTGTGCCCAGAACCTTGATGATCTCAACCAGCTGATCGACGCCGCTGTCACCGGGGAATATCGGCTGGCCGAGCAGCAGCTCTGCCAGTACGCAACCAGCGCTCCACACGTCTGCAGAAGTGGCGGGAAATTTCTTCATTATATAATGTAAGTTTGACCGTGCCATACGTTTGTAAACGTACCAATTTTTGTAGTGTAGTCAATAGCACCAAAGATCAGTTCGGGCGCGCGATAGTAGCGGCTGCATATGTAGGAGACGTTAGGCTCTCCCCTTACGAGATGCTTGGCCGAGCCGAAGTCGCACAGCTTCAGCACCCCGGTTTCTGGATCCAGCAATAAATTCTGGGGCTTGATGTCCCTGTGGCAGATCCCCAGGGAGTGGATGTACGCCAGGGAACGGAACAGTTGATACATGTACAGCTGGAACGATCACGGAGATACCAGTTAGTTTATCATTCGTTCGGTTTGCAATATGACTATAAGCTGGGTAAAACATCGAGGAAAATTGTGCTTTGAATATCGAGGGAGATGTTAACACGTTGAGTGCCGTACGATTTTGTCGAGAGAAATATACAAAATGAAAATGTAACATCAACTGATGTAACTGAATTACTTGTTGCAGGTTTATCTTGTCGAATGTCACTGCATTAGATGGTATTGTAATATAGAAAAGTTTTCAAATAATCATCGTTTATTGGAATGAATTATAGTAATTCGATTTGGTTGAGGTCACCGATGACCCCATAGCATCCAACGTGTTAACCTGCGGCCGAGAATTTGTTGAACTTCCGAACTATACATCGACATATGAAATACTAGAAAAGGGAACGTGTTTGAATAATGAAATTATTCGTTTGTAGCATACGGCGTTGAATGTCAAAGCCATTTTGGCGATCGCGGAGGGTTGAATTTTTTTCTTTATGTCTTAGAAATAAAGGAAAGTGGATAGAAACTGTATTATATTTATATAAAAGTTTAATCAAATTTAAAGAACAGTGTATTTTTCGAACGATAGACGCGCGATTGTAAAGTAAACAATTTACGTACTTTGAAATATTATTTTATCCAGCGCTAGGTATAGAATCAGTTGCCTGTTCAAGGTCAAGCCTCCTACCACTAGGCCTCGAAGATGCTGAGTGGGGATGAGGCATTGTGGAAGCCACAGTGACCTTGAACAGTCGACTAATCCCGTTCGAAAGAATATTGTAGGGGAAGACGATGAATCTTACCTTGATGAAGCTGATGGGTATCGTCTGCTTGCTTTTGCTATAATGTCGAGCGACTTTGTACACGGTTTCGGGTATGTATTCCAGGACTAGATTCAGATAAACCTCGTCCTTCTTAAAGAAAGTCAACGAATTAATATTAAACCGGTCTCATCAATGGTACTCGCAGGGTGTGTCGTCTCAAAGGCACTTAAGTATCTGTTAGCGATCAAAGTATCCAGCGATGGTGCCCCAATGGGAATCGACGAGGATCGAGTCCCGTCGAGGCTCCGTTGCTAGATACAGAATCGATCGTCATCAATTCCCATCGGGCGAAATCGATGCGTGCAAAGAAATACCTTTGAACCGAGAACACACTGTTCGATAAAGACATTCTGCCTAGAACTAGCGAAGCTGCGTTCACTACTGTACTGAGAGTATCTCGAATAGAACTAACATATCGGATCGCCGTGGCGTCATTCAGGCGAAACAATGTCGTGTATCATTAATCAACGAATTAATTATCTCTTTGTCTCCTCTCTCGCTCTTTCACAGACACACACACGCGGGCACACGCGAGCCGTGACTAGTTTGTGAAGCAGAACTTGCCTAAGTGTTTCTCAAAAGGACTTTTCTCAAAACTACAGGGTACGCTTTTCACTTACGTCCACATGAAAAACTGGATTAGTTGCGTTTAAGATGTTCTACAAAATAACACAACAATGCCGCATGCATTAAACTAATACGTATTGCACTCGGAGTCGGAGCTTATAGAATTTCAATGCGAAAGAGAAAAGTTTACTGTCTGTTCATTTTCTTTCGTTTTCGTTCGTCTTTGTTTGTTTTCGTTTCTTTTTTCGGTTACTTTGAATAGGTCGTGAGCACTTGTCATCTACGAGTAGACGGAAGAAGTTGTGCACGTTTGTGTGACGGGTGTCTCGTAATACAGAACTGCGCGTGAATATTAACGCCGTAGCCTTCGAATTTATCAAACGATTAATGTATTCTTATAAAAATTATCAAATTAGAATCTTGACTTTCACTGATATTAATCGTAATATAACTGAAACATTCATTTGAAAATAAACGATATGATAATATATGAAACAATCTTCGATATTTAACGTTATTAACGGTTGCCAGTGATCGGACAACAAAAACATTAGGAAAACTTGTTTCGACCGGTATAGCAGTTCCGGTGTCAAGTGAAGAATACCGAAATAGATTAGGAGTTTTATTTATAAGAACGCACGAGTCCAAGTCGGCGCGTTCGATCAGCTCGCGGGCAAACGCGGAACGAAAGGGAAAACGGACTCCTTTGTCAGCGAATTACGAGACACCCTTCGTAACTCTAGGAACAAACTAACGGATCGCATTTCCGATGAGTCGGTAAACTTTCGGTCGGTTGTTGTCGGATCATACGGATAAAATTGCATAATCACCTTTTCACCACTAGAGTAGAAGAAATATTTTAGTTTCACGATGTTGCAGTGCTCGAGACGCCGCATGATCTGCAATTCTCTGTTCTGTAAATACAACAGACGAAAAAAAAGAATACGGTTAGCGGATCTCACGTTCTCTCCCTTATCCCCTTCGACGAACGTTCCTCTTATCGAGACACTAAAGTTCATTTCTTTTCCTTGCTCGTCTCGTTAGCATTGAATTATGTTTAACACTAATCATACCGGCACTTTTCCTACTGTAACTAGTTAAATAACCAGCTAGAAAATAAACAAATTAGATGATAAATGTTTTTTAATAGAACAGAAGCAAAAGGGAGGATGAACATTGGAAAACAAATTAATTAGACAATATAGGAATTGATAGAAAGTTCAATGAACAAAAGAAAACGCAGAATTTTAAAATCGGCCATTTGACCGGTTTCCGGTACAGTTAGTGTTAACACTGAGGATCGACTGAATTACAATCTCGAGATTATCGTTCTTCGAACAGCCGAATCGCGAATCCGTTGAATTTTCACATCGAACAGGTATAATCCCCGAGGCGTAATTTCTCATTGTACTTTATTCCAATTAAAAAATCATTGCAACGCAGATTCTGTACGCGTTTCGACCATAAAAAGTTGAAATTCTTGAGTAACTCTGGTCCGAACGAATTACACCGAGAAAATTTCGTTTTCAGTGAAATGAGAAATCGGAATAATCTCTCGATAAGATAAGGAACTGAATAACTTGATTGATGATTCGCGGTGATCCGCGGAAGATAAAAATAAAGCCTAAATCTGTAGCTTTACACTAATGAAGTTCTGCTGAAGATGAATTGCGATAAACTGGAAATGAAATGAGTGAAGAAATTTTGATGAAGAGAGGCTCGGTCGAGATTGGAATATTAGTTTCAGATGAAATAGAAGAGAAAGTAATGAGTAAATGTAGTGTTGATTTAGTTCGTTAATTGAATGACTTGGAATAATACTGATCCTTCCTATTCCTGAGTTCTCGAGAAAAGAAGGTATTTACAAGATGTTCTTGGATTATGTGTATATTACCACCATAATGTTATTAACGGCATTAACTATTACTTGTTAACGTTAGTAGCTTTAATTAATCCAAAAACATTCAGCAAAAACTCTTTCTAGAGACCCCTGGAATAAGAGTTAAACATAATAGACTCGATTAGATTAAATATCAATGTATTAGGTTAACCCTTGACATCTAAACATTTATCTAAATACTCTGTCTATTTGATTAATTATTATTTCAACGTTTATAACATTTAATTAATTAAACTATCTGAACTTAAATCAGCTCAGTTTCTATCCTTAATCATAATTGTACATTTCTGCACGAAAGGACATTTAAACGTCACCTTTCAGCGCTTTTATATTATTCAATTAAAAACTAATAATACGTATCTCAAGTTGTGCTACTTTGTTCGAAATAAATAGAAGGAACATAAAAATAAGCATGTCTCTAACTCATAGCCTATGAGTGAAACGTTTACCTACAGAGTAGTACTGATTTAAGTTCAGCTATCTAGGGTTATAATTTAATTTTATTATTCAGTTAAATATAATTCATTCTGATGTGCTCAATGGTCAATGAAAATTTGTCTAGCGTTACCTTGAATCGCTTGTCCTGGAGAACCTTCTTGATGGCGACCATCTCTCCCGTATCACAGAGTTTTGCTTGGTAGACAACGCCGAAGCTGCCATTACCGATTACTTTTGTGTCTGTGTAGGCAACTTCTAGGGGGCGGTCTGGACCAACGCCGGGGGTTGCCACCACGGTCGTCACCTTGCTGCTATCCTTGCTGGCTAGATTGAAGCTCAACGCTAGAGTACAGCAATAGTACCAGGGTAGATTTAAGTATAAGGGCTAACGGGAGCAAGATCAAGCGGTTTACTTCGGGGACTCGTGTGTTGCGGACAGCGGGAAACACTTACAAAATAACCATAAGCTAATTACGGACCACTCCACCTCCTTACTATCGCCAACTGGGAAACATTTCCTACACCGTTCTCTCGATTTTCAAACGATAGACTTAGAATATACAGAGATATCGAAGATTACTTGCGTTATCCAGAGAAATTAAGTGCAAAGAGATACAAGGAAATTTGTTCAACATGAAAATTAAAACTCTTTAACCCCTTGTCCTACAACAACGAGTGAGACTCGTAGTGAAGATTTTCAACATGATTCAACAAATATATATATATATATATTACTTAGTTAATTCGAATTCAAAGTAAATATTATTCCTCTGTAATCAACTATTATACTTAAAAGGAAATATAGGCATAACATGTGCTTAGAATTTGTCTCTTTTTCCAATAAATTATTAATGACAAAGTAGCCGTATCTATCAGAGTTGAGAAAGAAATCATAGGCCAAGGGGTTAACACGTTGAATGCCGTACAGTTTGATGCCGCAAAATACACAAAATGGAAAAAATCAAATACTAAATCATTCGATTCAATTGCATTATTATAATTGTATGTCCATCTAGCTGATCGTTACCGCAGTAGGTGGCATTATTTATAATATAGAAATATTTTCGAATATTCACCGTTTAATTGAACGAACTATAGTAGGTCGATTTGATTGGAGGTCACCGGTGACCCCCATTGGCACACAACGTGTTAAAGTAGACTTTCGTACATTTTATTCCATGTTTAACCTTTTGTGGGGTTAAACATTCAATATAAAGAGATATCGATGTTTAACTCCGCGAAAGGTTGAACATGGAATAAAATTTATGAAAGTCTACTTTAAAGAGTTTCAATTTTTAATCTGAGCAAATTTTCTTGTATCTCTTTGTACCTAATTTCTCTGAATAACGCAAGTATCTGTGAAATTATTCTTTTCTTCATTGCAGAAGAGTTTCAATTATATCCGTTGGTACGACGCGAGTGATAGACAGTTTAGAGCATCTGGAACTACCTATGAATTAGTCTTTTCATGGATTTACCGATGAAAGGATCTTTTCAGTGGTAATCTCAAGTAGTTGATCTGACCGAGAGGACGCAAGGGGTTCAATCCCCGAATGGTCAGACAGAATAATGAAACTTTATTGTTTAATGCGAATATTTTCTCGGTAGCTTTAAGTAGATGACTTTGCAAGAATCTTTTCAGAAGCTTAAGCTTCTTTATTCTCGATTGAGGCTACTCGATGAGTATATATATATATATGATTCGTATTAGGTCTGATAAGGACGTTGAGACAACAGAAGTCTGTGGAAACTCGAAGTTTAAAAATACACGCGGAAGAATCGACGAGTATTTTTGATCGTATCACTTTATGAAAGTGCAACATGTCAAAGATGACAGGATCTCGATAGTTCTTAGAACCATTAGTCACTGCAATTAGAATACTAACTCGACATGATTCACCTTACTGTACGTAGTGGAACGATGGAAACAGCACACCGGGTGTAGTAAATATTTCCTATAGTTTTGACAATGTAAGTAACCTTTAAAATGTACAGTCTGAGTATGATTATAATATATAACAAATTCCATCGAAAAGATACCTAAATAACATTGAGGTCAATACATCTACGACTGTTTTCGAAACAACAACAACAGCAGGAATCGCTTCGTCGCGAGTCGTTCGCAAAAGAACTAAAGGAATTTTCTGTTCATCACGGATACGCATCGTTATCGTTGAACGTTAAGCACCGATAACAGTAAAGTGGTCTTTCATTTTAATTTCGCACGCAACGAACGATAGCAATTTTTATCGAATCAAATTAAAAATCCTCGAGTGGCTGGCACGTTGTCGCAATTCATATTTTCACGTGCCGCTAGATATATGGACGACGCAAAAATTCATTTTCTCAGTGACACGTGCAATGAACCAAGATGCAAGATGCAAGACAATTGAGTACCGATCTCTGTGTAAAAACTGGACTTTTTAGTTCTCGTTTCCACAGGAAATCTGATTGCATCAGTAATTTGACGAATGTCGATCGAGCGGTCAACGTTAACCAGTTATCTGTGTTGCCTTAACGCGTTCGCTACCAGCGTCACATATTTGTGACAGGAGCAATCTAATTTTATTTGCTTTATGTAAAATATAAGATATTTTATAGATATAGTTAGTTAAAGCTATAAACTACGAAATTACATTTAGGGATTCAATGACTGGTTTTAGCTTAATTTGCTTCAATAGTTTGTTTAGATTTATTGAATTGAATAAAATATAATTGAGAGAATCGCCACCGAAACAAACGCTGGTAGCGAACGTGTAAAACTGCGTCGCAAAAATCAAGCGATGATGAGTATATACGTCGTAACACAAAGAATTGCCATTCCTTCGTGACGACTATACTCGTAACGCAAAAAGTTACCATTTCTTCAGTATACTCATCATACCGGAAGAAACTGCAGCTCCTTCGCGACGAGTATATTCGTCGTAACGAAAAGAATCGCCATTTCCTCGTGACAAGCGTACTCGCCACGCATAGTTAACCGTTTCTTCATTGTGTCCCGCGTGGAAACCTGAAAATAGCCACTGCAACGATCTGCAGCAACCCGTTCACTCGAGCCGGCGTGTTGCGGGTACCGGGTTGCACGGACGTGTTCTTAGACGCGTGTAATTCTATTGCTAGCCGCTCGGACGCGGCTGCGACAGGGATAACCTTGATAAGATGCAACACCACGGATAATGCGAGGTAGCCGCGCGCGTCCGCGGACCGGTTTTCTCATTGAACCGTCGCTGAAAATAACCGGGAGTACTGCCGCACATACGCACGCACGTCTCACGCCTCCGATAACCCGCGTAACGCGCGATCGGGACCGAAAATTCGCGTTCGATCGCGCGATTTACGAGCCGGTAACGCGTTCGACCGAGCGACCCGTAAAGCTGCGTTCATACTGGACATCACTTCGTCGGCTGACTTGTCGATCGACCTTAACACTGAAACTACCGAGCAGTTGCATTGACTTTTTCAAATTTCTCCGCGGCAACTCCAAGAACGCACCCTATCGAGACTACAATTGATCTACAATTCAGTTTGCGTATTGCTAAATCGATTTCTTTAATAATTTCTCACGTAATCATTTGACATCCTATTAATAATTGTAGAACGAGGGAATCAGGAATGCGTCATTTTGACACGTTCTGGTAACTTTAGCGTTCACCCTTTGCAGCCTTACGTCGAGTCAGACTCGACATTCAGTTTCAAATATTTGTTGTAATAATCGTTTATATTACAATTGTTTCTCATCGCTCGTAGATCATTTATTCCGATTTTGTCTAGGTCTCATTTTGTCCAGGATACCTTCAAATCTGAGAATGGTGTAGGTAAATTGTTACTAGATAGTGCGCTTCTGCATTTTCAATAAAATTTGAAATATATAGGTAATCGGAAGAGAACTTCTATAGCTGTAAATTGACATCTTTCTAAATAGAGGTGTTTCGATAAAAATAAATGCGAGAATATGTTAAAGATTTATGTTGAACTACTTCCGATCGTTCAACACATTCTATGGTGTTGTTTTTTGAGCTCGGATTCTTCGAACCGTGGAATGCCGAAGGAAAGTTCGAAAACACATGGTATAACCAAAGAATGAATTCCTTGTCTGTATCGAAGCACTGCTCGCTTCGCGTTCCAAACAATTTCTCTTCGTAAATAACGCTAAATTGTTGATGGTAGACGTGAAACTTTGTTGCACACTGCACTGCTCGTAATTGACCAAGACAATGTAGGATAACGAATTGGCAGCGTGCACTGTTTAATTGAACGACTCGAGGTCGATTCAGTTATCCGACCAAAAGTTGCCCGATGTAAATGCAGCTTAACGCATTGTTGACCAGCTGAGTAACGCACGCCTCAGTTGGAACATTGAAAAATTGACTGAAAATTGAATCACTGAATTCCGATGAATACGTGCATATGTCGGTAACACACAAACAATTTGAACAAAAGCTACTGGCAGTATTCAGTTTGTGAACTTACGCGATTCCGTACTAGAACAATTATTCAAACGAGTAAACACGGGAGTACTCACTGGCTGGTAGACAATACGCTAACGCTTAACCGACCGGTCGGGCAAAAATACTCGTTTAAAAAACTTACGTAAACGGCCGGACGTGTGTTAATACCCGTTTAGACTTTCCTGTAGATTCAAATCGCTTCCATGTCGTTAATCACGCGAGTTATCAATTTCTTTATAAATTTATACATTAGACAGCCGTAGCTTGCATCAACACTAGATGTATGGAACGCGTCAATCTGGCGCGTATTGGATTTTCTAAACGCCATTTGGTAAATGTTCGCGTCGACTTTGATCGATGCAATTACTACAGTATGTAATTACCGTCTATTTTTAACTCCTTGCCCTACGATACCGTGTCAGTCTCACGATGAAAATGTTCAATTGAATTTGACAAATCTGCATGTTACTAACTGTTATTTAATGTAAATTAAACATTACTTTGCTAGTGTCAATGGTTAACCTCTGGAGTAAACAAGTAAAGAATTTTTTCTTTTTATAAGTAATTATTACCGATAAAGTATCTTTACTAAATTAAGTGACAGAGATCATAGGGCTCGGGGGGTTAACTAACTTCTAAAATCTGAATGAACGAGCATTAATGTTTCTAGGCGCAGTAGAATAAACCGTACAATGAATGTCCGTAAACCTAGTGTTAAATATTATGAAGAAGTATTGATAAATAGAAAAATTATAACAGAATTCATGGATCACGTTCTGTTTCAGCAAACTTACGAAACATCGACGGCTGTCAACGAAAATTCTTTTGCTTAACCACCGGTCAGTTAAGCGTTAAGTACCCAATGTTCACCGTAGCTCGCCGGGCCATACTTTT